AAATATAATTTGAGAGGTCCAAAATATATAATCCCTCCGTTAAAAACTGTAAAGCATTTTTAACCAAATCTCACCTCTCAATAAAGTAGTTATCTACTTTTTAACTAACCTTATTTTTTCATATTTACCCTATTAAACACCCTTCAATAAATATAAAGTCATTATCAATAGGGGTACTTTTGAAAAAAAGGCAATTATTACAATTTGAAAGACTAAATATGCCTTACATTTTTTAATATCCAACTTCTTAAAAATGTCTTACATTTTTGAGTGGAGGGAGTAACTCTTTCGTTTTACAAAGAAAAAAAAATTAAAGTTAGAGAGATCATGACTCCCCCTGATCAATCCTCATCTCCGCCACTGGCCGCCCATAAGTGATCACATGGAATTGCAAACTAATATTTACAATACCCACCTTGAAGACATTTGCAATTTTTGAAAACTAATAATTGCAACATAGAAAAGCTAATTCATGTAACAGGACTAAAATGTTGAAATCTTGAGGAGGGCCTAAATTGACGGATGCCATGTCGTCATAGTGTTTGGAAGCCAGAATAGCATGGCTGCTTACTTGTACAGGCAAGACCGCGTGAAGAGTACATGAAGTTTGGCCCCTCATAGTAGTACAAGATAATCTTAGACTTGAATGACTAGATTTACATGCGATATATATATATGTTCTATGATGTTGATCATCTTATCTCTGCCAGCTATGAAACATTAAAGCAACTGGCTTTAATTACTTTGACTCGTGTCCTATTTTTAGGGATAAAATATATGATCTCATGTGACATAGGACTTGATTATTAATCCTGTGACCACAGTGCACCGAAGAGGATGGATCCAAAAAATCTATCAAATAATAAACAGAAATGATGTTAATTAACTCTTTTAGTCGGGAAAAGCCTATATATACAGAGCAAAATCTGGAATGCTTCCTTTACAAAATTGTGTTGACTGAATAGTCTAAAAAATGTTGTCTTCGCAAGCTAAAACCCATTGAATAAGGAAGAAGTGACATTTAGGAAAACTTCTTCTCTGCAAGTAATAGTGATGGCACCCATATAATCGTATCCAAATTCTTCTTCAGCTTGACTTAACAACTCTTGAAATGAAGGTTGATTCAAGTATGAAATGGGGATCACAAACCTTTTCATTTTGTGCCCGATGTATACAGCAACATATCCCTTTGGCACATCACCAGATTTCGAAGAAGCCATTTTTGCAACAAATGAAGACCTTTTAGTTCCTGGGAAATGAAAAGCCATATTTTTGAGTTTAAGAGAAGAAGAAAGTGCTTGAATTCAAATCTTTGAGGATATTGTTAAAGACCTAGTTGTGTTGCTTTTGAAAAATATGAAATACGAGTGTGTGTGTATATAGATGAAAGGGTTTTGCTTTCATTCTCTTCAATAATTAATTGGCGGAAGAGGAGCAATGTGATAAGGCTTAATGGTAGACAAGGACTTATTATTAGAGATCACATGGTGTGTTATCAAAAGCAGCTAAATGACGTGTTGTCCAGTCCAGACACATGATGTCTTCGTCAATACCATGATGGATCATTTGAATTTGAACAGTTCAAGGCATATGGTGTCTTTCTCAAGTGTTTTAATTGTTGTCATTTTAATTTCTAGACATGCTTGAGGCATCTCATGTTTTCCTCATCTTCGTAGTCCATTTCATAGCATATGTCGTAGAACCAATGAACTAAACGTATGAGAAATGGTTGGCATGTCTTCAAAGGGGAAATTTCTTGGCTTACGTAGGCATATTATATTGGAGCAACTAACGTGTCTTTTGCAAAATTGCAATAAACATGCTTCTCATGATCAGCATGCATGTTAACTAACTGTCTGGAATGTTGCATCACATGGGGAAATTTATTGGCTTCTATTATTGGGCACAGCTAAAAAAAGGAAAACATGATTGGATTACTTGATTAGCATTAGGAGTTTTTTCTTGTTGGGTAAAAGCGTTGGGTTTTTGAATGTTGAAGAAGATGACAGACACTGATTCCATTAATGTAGTTATAAGGTATGTTCTAACCTGATGTCGTATGAGGTATGTCCTAAATGAGAGCTAATTATAACCAATTACCCAAGAAATTGTGCATAAAGTAATTAAGTGACCTTTATGGTATTGAGAAATACTTTGAAGCGCACGCTGCAACATTTTTGGCTTTTAGCAAAATTTCAATTGGCTACAATTCTAAAAATATTGTCTAATGTCTAGATAAATAATTTTTCATATGTTGTTGTTGATTACTATTTGAAGCAATAAATACCTGACAACACTTGAAAAATGTTTCCTAACATAAAATAACCCTAGTTTTAGAGTTCGTTGTCCATATATTAATCTAGATTAATTTTGTCTAGCTACAAGACATTAGTTACGTTCAAATCGCTTTTGATTTGATGACTATAAACTTTTGAGGGAACAATCTTTTTTCACAACTGTTTTACTTGTCATGACCATGTACTCGCGATACGTACATTTTCCTACGAGCACAGAGGTGATGTGTTGCTTTGTGATATACAAGTTGCTCGCAAAAGGACAAGGGCCACATCATCACATGTATTGTCTTGTAGAGAGGTACCTTTCACGATAAAATGTGTGAAATGAGAGTGAAAACAACTATCAACAAGATAACTCATTTTGCTTCCAAAAAATAAAATAAAAACATGATTACTCATATAAGAGGGACATATTAAAATTGAGAAAATATAAATTAAGAATCACGAGAGAAATTTTATATCATTCAAGAATTAATAAATTTTAAAATTACAGTGTAGTCTATTAATCTTTAGATAAAATGGATTTTTTATATAAAATGATTTAATTGCCACTAAAATTTAAAATAATTTTTAAGAAGTCACCCCTGCTATAATCTGCATCAACCACCGAAGGTCATTCAAAATTATTAAATTATTTTTTAGTAATAATTTAATAGGGGTCTTTTAAGAGTAAGTTGGTCATTTCATATAAAAATTAATTTCATTTAAAGACTGATGGACTACAATGAAATTTCAAAATTTATTGATCTTTGAATAACATAAATTTTTTCCTACAATCCTTAATTGATAGTTTCCCATTAAAATTTGGAAATCTTGAGGAGGACCTAAAGTGATGGATGCTACGTCCTTGTGTTTTAAGACAAAGACCGTATGAAGAGTACTTGGAGTTTGGCTTCATAGTTGTGCAAGACGATCTATCCAAACATTTTATATATTTCCATGCATGTGACATCCGTTTTATGGTGTTATGGATAAAAAAAAATTACTTATAAGTCTCGTGGAGCAAACTTATTTACAAATAAATCCCATAAAATTCAGAAACAACAATTAGATCCCTAGGGACCTGAGTACAATTTAAAATTGGGATAAAAAGGAAATAATCTCAGTTTAATTATTGTATTTACAAAATTACAGTTTTAAAAATTTGAAATTATAATTGTAAAATACTGATGAAGTAGTTGTAAATAATTAATATTAAACTTTCTTAATAATGCATGAATGTTTAATTATTAGATACGTGAAGTTATAATTGCAAAAAGTTAAAATTATTGTTATAAATTGCTGATGAAGTAGTTGAAAATTAATTATTTGATTGATGTAATATATGTTTAATAGGGATATTATTATCTTTGTAGCTTAATTTTAAATTATACTCAAGTTTCAAGGGACTTGGTTGTGATTTTTAAATTTCACGGAACTTATTGTGTTCCATGGGATCTATTCGTAATTTTTCCAAAAAAAAAAAAATTGGACAGCTTAACAATTTGGAGAAAATACATATAAGTGTGAGTGACTTATATGTTTTTCCCAGTTATATATATTTTCTTCAACTTAATTTCACATAACAAGTCAAATCAATTCATATTTGACATTCCAAAAATGAAATATAGCCTGCAAGTGGTTTTAAATATTGATTTTGATTTCAATACAATAATTATAATATATAAAGAAAATGTAACGTCATTTCTGTATCTCAATTCGTAAAAATACGTAAAACTCTTTTCTTTTTTTGGGCCGAGAGCTGGTAAGACTAGGAAATAAATTGAAATTTCTTGGTCCACTTCGATTCTTGATAGATTTTGGTTGGGGCCATTGAATTATTAATCAATTCCTGTGTAAAGTTAGATCATATTTTATACACATAAAAAGTATGACACGAGTCAAGTAAGAATTTAGAAATTGAAATCGATATTTAAATATCTTCTTTAATATTGGGTGTTGCGCTTTACACGCTTTTGTTACCCCTAAAGCGAAACCTTGATTTGAATTACTCGATTTGTAAGGAATATAGAAGTCAACATTTACAATTAATCTAATCCCTACAATTTTACATGTGCTCATTGCTCAAGAGCATTATAGATAGAGGTAATGAAAATAAAAATACATATGACTTTATGGTCTTGACGCTCAAGCACACAAATGAAGGGAATATGTTTAAGCAAGTATGCGAGTTTTTGGATATCCGTTGGGTAAAATTGATTATGAAAAATATGTTCTGGGATTGTTCAAACTTAATGAGGGATGAGAACCACCTTCTTTGGATAAAATCCTAAGCATCTTGATAATCATGTCCACGTATATTCCAAATTGTATGAGAACCACCTTCCATCATTAGGTTTACCAAATTTAAGGCAGTGATGAAACCTTGAATACATTAACGAGGGTTTGCCTTAAAATTATGGGATCAGCAATGGAGGGTTCAAACTGCAATAAAAGAAGTAATTCTCACAAAAAAAAAAAGTTGCTGGAGTATTAGAATAAACAGAAACTAATGAGAAGCTTGACAGTTGTCGGAATGGACCAAAAAATCAGGGTATATTACCCTGTTCGTGAATATCTGAATTAGATAAACATTTACTTTGTTCTACTTCTAAGAGTGGAGAAAGAACAAGAGAACTTTGGCAACTGAATAAATGCCTATGTATATTGCTAAAATTTCATTAAATCTATGTCAGCCAATCAATCTCTTTCACTTTTATTTCTTCATAGCCCATTGAACCGAGAAGTAATATCTAAGAATACATCTTCTCGGCAAGGAATAGTAAGGCCACCTATTGGATGGCTATATCCGAACTCTTCCCCAGCTTTAGTCAGAAAATCTTGAAACGATGGTTGGTTCAAGTATGATATGGGGATCACAAAATGCTTCATTCTCTCTTCAACATATACCGCATAATAGCATTTTGGGACCTCCACAGATTTCAAAGCTCTTGCACTGGACATAAACGAAGTTCTTTTAATACCAAGTAAACGAAAACCCATTTGGTAATGTTTAGATTTTTGGCTCTTGAGGATTGGAATATTGGCTTGTGTTGCTTGTGAATAGGAGAGGAAGTGTGTATTTATAGTTGTTAAAGGTCAGCTACAGATCAATGGAGCAACAATAAGGGTTGTGTTACCATGGGAGATCACGTGGTGTGTTGTCTTGGAAGTGTGTATTATAAACGTTTAAGGAGATGCATAAGACCCACCTTGAATGAAAGTACAATTATTGGTACCCACTTGAAGACAACTAGATTGATATTCTTGCATTGTTTAAAGGCGAGACTCCATTTTGTAGACATGCTTTAGATATTTCACATATTTTTTTCTTCATATTGACACACCTCAATTGGATGCCTTTGTACATACAACTACGTACCAACTAAGATAGATGCAGTGATTGATGGAGTTTCACATTAGGTCACAATCAAGGGATGTAGAACTTAAAGGACTCTTTTTTGTTTTTTCGCCCAGAAGGGGTGGGTTGATTTCTGTCCAAGGTTTCTTGAAGCTCTCTCTTGATTCTAGAATCAAACCACCTCAAGCACAATGTTTGACTTCAAATTTAAAGATGCATTATTAATATTTGTCAATCAATATGTTATGACTAATCAACTAATGTATGTTGTAAAGTATCTTTGTCATCAAATTAATTAATTATACAGTTGAAGACTTGTAGAAGAAAATTTGAACTCAGATAATGCTTCAGGATGTGTATGTAATTTGTATGTGTATGTATATGCATGCTTGCTTGCGCGGAATGAAGCTCAATCCTTAGAGTAATTCTGTCTTATAAGTGAGGTGGCCATGTCTAGTTGCAATTACATAATTCATGTGATTAATTAACGTGTATAGGTATAGTGATTGGAGAACCAAAATTAACGGATGCTATGTCAGTGTTTGGAGGCCAGAATAGCATGGCTGCTAACTAGTATAGGCAAGACCACGTGAAGAGTACATGAAGTTTGGCTCCTCATAGTAGTACAAGATAATCTTAGACTTGAATGACTAGATTTACATGCGATATATATCTTGGATTGTTCGTTCGGTGATGAGCACGCAGCCATTTTAGTTTAAATTAATCCTTGCTTTTTATTTAAATTAATTTTCAAATATTGTTAATGTTATATTTATTAATATAAAAATATAAAAATTTTAACAAATATGTTCATTACCAGTCTTGCCAGTATAAATTTAATCTAGCAGTCCAATTTAATATTAATTTTTTTTATAATTTTACAATTTGATTATCCAAATAGATTCCGGACAATTTATATATAATTTAGATGGCTAATTTAATATTAAAAAAATTATAAATTTTACAAATTAGCCGTTTAAATATATTTTAAATAGTTCAGATTTAATATTAAAATTTTTTATACTTTTTATTTTAATAAACATAATATTAAAAAATTTAAAAATTAATTTAAATGAACGGTATAAATCATGTTAGGATGAAATGCCTCCTGACCTTGGTGAGCACTCAGCACACCAAATGCGGACGCATCTTATCTCTGCCAGCTATGAAACGTAACATTGAAGGAACTGGTTTTAATTACTTTAACTCGTCTCCTATTTTTATGAATAAAATATATGATCTCATGTGACATAGGACTTGATTATTAATTCTATGACCACAGTGCACCAAAGAGGTTGGTTCCAAAAAATATATAAAATAAGAAACAAAAATGACGTTAACTAATTCAATCAGGAAAAGTCTCTATATATATATATATACAAAGGAAAATCTGAGGTGCACTCCATACAAAATTGTGTTGACTAATTAATCTAAACTAATGTTTTCGCCGGCTAACACCCATTTAATAAGGAAGAAGTGACATTTTGGAAGACTTCTTCTCTGCATGGAATAGTGATGGCACCCACGTAATCATATCCAAATTCTTCTTCAGCTTGACTTAACAATTCTTGAAATGAAGGTTGATTCAAGTACGAAATCGGAATCACAAATCTTTTCATTTTGTGCCCGATGTATACAGCAACATATCCCTTTGGCACATCACCAGATTTTGAAGAAGCCATTTTTGCACCAAATGAAGACCTTTTAGTTCCTGGGAAATGAAAACCCATATTTTTTGAGTTTAAGAGAAGAAGAAGAAAGTGCTCGAATTCAAATGTTTGAGGATGTTGTTAAAGATCTAGTTGTGTTGCTTCTGAAAAATATGAAATACGAGGGTGCGTATATATAGATGAAAGGGTTTTAATTTGCTTTCATTCCCTTCAATAATTAATTAGCCAGAGAAGCAATGTGATAAGGCTTAACGGTAGACAAGGACTTATTATTAGAGATCACATGGCGTGTTATCAAAAGCAGCTAAATGAGGTGTTGTCCAGTCCAGATCATACATGAACCAGAACGTTCAGATGATGCTGTTTATGTCTTCGTCAAGTACTATGACGGATCATTTGAATTTTGAACAGTTCAAGGCATAGTTTCTCTCTCAAGTTTTTTAATCACTGTCGTTTTAATTTGTTGACATGCTTGCAACATCTCTTATGTTTTCATTATCTTCGTAGAATCGTAGTCCACTTCATAGCATATATTGCTGCGGCAATGAACTAAAAGTATGGGAAATGGTTGGCATGTCTTCAAAGGCAAAATTTCTTGGCTTGTCCATATCATAATATTGAAGCAACTAAAGTGTCTTTTACAAAATTGCAATTATAAACTTGCTTCTTAAGATGAGCTGGTTAACTAAGTGTCTGGAATGTTGCCTCTCATGGGGAAACTTCTTGGCTTATTATTAGGCACAACTATAAAAGGGAAACATAATTGGGTTACTTGATTAACATTTAGGGGTTTTTTTCTTATTGGGTAAAAGCGCGAGGTGTTTCTGAATGCTGAAGAAGATCGACAGATAGGATTCCTTAGCTTTAATGAAGTTATTAGGTGCGTCCTAAATGAGAGCTAATTATAACTGATTATGCAAGAAAAAATTGTGCGTAAACTAAGAACCTTTATAATATTGAGAAATACTCCATCTATCCTAAATTATAAAATAATTTTAGAGAAAATTTAGTATCTCAAAATATAAAATACTTTGAGAAGATTAAAGTTTTATTAAGCAAGATTATTCCAATATTGCCATTTCTCTCTCTCTCTAGAGTAATTAAGTGTAGATTTAAGGTTATTAAATTGACGATGTTTTTAAAAATTTATATTTTTGTTTTTAAAAAAATTAAGATTGTCAAGTTTATTTAATGAGATTTGTTGGTATGTGATTTTTTTTTTAAAGTATCTTATAATTTGATATGGATAAAGTATTTAAAAGTATCACTTCAACATTTTTGACTATTACTAATATTTTTCTCTAGAACAATTTTAAAAGTGTTGCATCATGCATAAATAAGAAACATTTTTCAAATATTGTTATTGAAGTATAGAGTGATAAATACTTATTTTGTTAAAAAATATAAGACATTTTTAATCAAATTTCATCTCCAATAAAGTAGTTATCTACTTTCAAACTAACTTTATCTTTCTATATTTACCCCTATTAAATACCTTACAATAAATATAAAGTCATTTATCAATAGAGACACTTTTGAAAAAAAAAAATGATTATACATCAAAAAATTAAAAATGCTTTACATTTTTGAACATCAAACTCCTCAAAAAATTTCTTACATTTTTTAACAGAAGGAGTATTTGACAACAGGCTTGAAAAATATTGTCTAATATAGAATAACCCTTGTTTTAGTGTTCGTTAGTGTCCATATAATCCAGATCATTTTGTGACATTATTTTTGTTTAAATCACTTTTGATCTGATGACCATAACGGAACAATCTTTTTCTCACAGCTGTTTTATTTGTCATAACTCATGCACTTGCGATGTACGTACATTGTCCAATGAGCAGTCATGATGGGTTGCTTTGCGATATATAAGTTGGTCTCAAAAGGACAAGGGCCATACCACATCATCACATGGTATTGTCTTATAGAAAGGAACTTTTCAAGGATCAATGTGTTAAATTTAGAGTGAAAGCAACTATCAAGCCAACTCATACATGAGGGACTGTGTCATAGTGTTTCAAGACAAAGGCCGCGTGAAGAGTACTTGGAGTTGGGCTCTATAGTTGTGCAAGACGATCAATTCAGACATTATATAGATGTCCATGCATGTGATATTCGTTTTATGGTGCTATGGATAAAAAAAGCTAACAATTTTAAGAGAATACATATAAATGAGAGTGACACTACATCTTAACTTACAAGTTTAAATCATTAAATTTGTGTCTTTTTCATTTATATACCCTTTTTCTAACTCAATTTCACATCATTATGAGACTTTTTTCACATACAAGTCAAATCAATTTACATTTGACATTTAAATAAATGAAATATAGCCTGTGAGTGGTTTATATATCCATTTTAATTTCAACACAATAATTATATTATATAAAGAAAATCTAATGTCATTTATGTATCTCAATTCGTAAAAATATGTGGAACTCAATTCAATAGTTGGTAAGACTAGGAACTAAATTGAAGTTTCTTCGTCTACTTCAATTCTTGATAGATTTTGGTTGGGGCTATTGAATTATAAATTATTTAATCAATTCCTGTGTTGTTAGATCATAAATTCTTGATATATTTTATGCATAAAAATTTGACACGAGTCAAAGAAAGAATTTAGAAATTAAAATCGATATGTATTTATATAATTCTTTAGTATTGGGTGTTGCGCTTAACATGCTTTGGTTACCCCTAAAGCGAAATCTTGACTTGAATTACATGATTAAGGGTTATAACATTTTTCTTCCCCTTAAGTCAACATGTAAAACATAATTCCTGTTTTTACTTAAAGCTTTAAGACACAAAAATATCCAGAAGGTTTATGGCACTTTCAGTGCAAAAATATTTAAAAAATTTTTTTCCAGTCAGACGCTTTTAGTATCCTTAAGTTAATAATAGTGTATAGGTATCCATTAAATTTATAAAAAAAAATTCATTCTCCTCCAATCCATCAAAATAACTTAACATTGACCGTAAAGTTTAGAGGAAAGAACTTAACTTTCCTCCTAGCCTCCTCTTTCTACTTCTCTTTTTTAGTTTGCTGACTACAACGTTATGTAATGAACTAAAAAATGTACTCAAACGATAAAACACAAACTCATCTTTGTTTAATGAAAATTCCGAATCCAGATTGCCGGTTCAACAGGATTAATGGAAAGTGACAATGGTATGGAATAATAGAAATGGTAAATATAACCCTTTGATATATCCTTCCCGGCCCATTTACTTCATCCCGAACCCATATTTCTCTTTGGACTACTCCTAAGAAGCCTTGTATCATGACACGTCGCTTCTCTTGAAAAAATTGACGGGCTTTTAAAACTGGTCTTCATGGGAATTTCGAATACCTTTGCTTTGCGCTTCTACTATCGTATTAGGTCGTGGATTTAATGAAGGTCATGAAACACTTCGTCATGGACAGGCATCAGAAAATATTACTTACTCCTTCTAGTGCTTTGTGTATAATTTGTGGCAACAAACAAATTCTGGATCCTCTTCTGAATCAACATTTGTGTTATTGTGATTGTGTTGCCTTTATTTGATAAAACCGTTGGTTATTCTTCCAATGAAGAAATCATAAAATCATATTTTTAAGAGCAAAATTCGTCCAATAGTAAAGTCCCAATTAGTATATCATGTTCATCAGCCTATTAGAAAAGTCTTTGATGGCTTTTGACCCCACTAATTTCTGCATTTTCAAAATCTTTGAACAAGCTGAGTAGCTGAGCACTTGCATGCTTGTAGGTAGTCTTTGGCTTGGGACTTCTTTGTCTTCAGATCTCTGTGTGAGCTTTAAGCCATGTGTGATTGCTGGCTTTGTAAAAATTCAAGATTTTATTAGTTAAAATTCAAAATTTAAAAATTCGCTGATAAAATTAAATAATATCCAATTAAACTCAATTAGCCTCAAATAAATATATAAAATTCTAAATTAAATATTTATTTAAGGCTAATTGAGTTTAATTAGATATTATTTGATTTTATTAGTCAATCTTGAACTTTTGGATTTTAACTAATAAAATCTTTGAATTTTAAAGTATAAATGATATCTTTGATATTTTTACATATTTTCTATTTTATTTTATTTGTTCATTTTTTAATCTAATTTAGAAGATATTAATGGAGATTATTTTTAATAGAAGAATATGGACATGTGCTTGAAGATCAAGTCAATAATTAAATTTTATAAATTTTATTTATGTTTATTTTGGGTTCTTTAATGTACTTTTTAGTTAGGATTGTTAAGGATAGTTTTGTCTTTTTGACAAATTATTAGATTTTAGTGTGTGTTTGGATTAAAAAATTTTTTAACTGAAATTAGAATGAACTGAGGTTAGCAAACTGAGGTTAGAATAAAAGTCTGTGATTGTAACGTGATTTATGTTTGGATATATTTTTTTTAAAAGTGAGTTGAACAAACTAAAACTTGTTTGGATGATTTGATTCAAAAGCCAATTGAAATGTATAAGAAAAAAAATAAATTTGAATTTTCTTGTATATATTTTTATGACTAATTTCATATTTTTAAGGAAAATATTAAACTTAAAATTACAATTTTTTTAAAAAAAGTGGATTAAAATTACAATTTTACATGTGATTGGTTAGCTTGAATGAATTTCAATTAGATAAAATTCAAATCTATATCAAGAAAAAAGGATCTTTGATTTCTTATTATAATCTATTTTTATTTAGTTTTATTATATTTTACTGTAGAAATTTTTTTCGTGATTTGATATTCTTGGAACAAAAAACATTGACCCTTAAATTACAATTTTTTATTAAAAAAACTCTATATATAATTAAGTATTGTTTATGAATTGTTAAAATATTGAATAAATAATAAATTAAAAATATTAAATTACAAAATAGTTAAAATAAATTGATGGATAATGAAACGTTAAATTCTAAAAAGCTAAACTAGATTGATAAATAATAAAATATTAAATATAAAAATGAAAATAAATTAATAAATTGGTAGATATATTTTCCCATAAAAGTTTTTAAAAAAATTGTAAAATTTGCCACAAAGCAAAATATCACTTTTTTTTTTTTGCATGCAAGAAAACAATGCGTCATTTGTTTCCAGGGGTCATGGATGATTAAGTATCATAATAATACATCTACCACACCCTTTACCACTTGGAGAGAGAAATTTG